AATTACTTCCCGGTCGATGCCTCGACCGAAGGACTTTTCAAGTTCGATGACGTTGTAGGGATGCGTGTTACAATTCCGTAACGTTTGATCAACCCTACTTAATTTGATGTGCTCCAGTACCTGCTTAGCCAGTACTTTACCTAACGTGTAAGTACTGATAACAAAACAAATCAAAAGAACTGATACGCAATGTATTTAAAGGAGCTATGTATTTAAGGTAAATGTAATAATAATGAATGGGGGAAAAGTTTAATCAACTTATCTGGCTTATAAGACTGAACTAGGGACTCGGAGTACGTGCGTGTTGATCAGCACAATGGAGCGCAAAAGTGGCGTCCAAGCCTGCTCGGATGCATGCTCGTTAAAACAAAACTTAAAACACCCTAAGCATCCGGAGGCAAGCTAGAGATTTATTTAGTCAATTTAATTTAGACTATTTATTTTAGCCTTAGTTATATTTTGGTGCCAGGAAGGTGCACTTCAGGTTATCCCCCTCCTAGAAGGTTGTCGGGATACCGGCAACCTTCGATCCTAGGAGGCGACTGCGAGGCGGAAACGCAACACCTTTCCGTATTGGTGATGGAGTAGGTGACGTGTGGGTCTCCGAAGCCAGTGCAACTATGCACACCTATGAGGTAAGATAACTTTGCGTCTAGACGCAACCCTTCTCGCAGTGGTGGAAGGTGACCCAAAGCCTCCGTCTACTTTTCCCTATTGCTTCTTAATCTGCCGGGGAGTGTACAGGGGGAAATTGGTACAAAGAGAACCGAAGAACGATCCAAGTAGCATCGTCAGCGGCCAATTGTATCCAATTTTCAACGCATTTTCTAGGTTCTGCAAGAAGAAGGTAATGGGACATTAGAGTGCTTAGAGTGTTTCTTTTTAAAAAAAACTGTTTGCAAAGTAGTAAACAAGACTTTTGAAAACTTTAGATATGAAAACGCATTGAAAGTGTATGCCACGACAAAGTACTTGAAACTCCGAATTCACCAAGTGTGAAGTTGCTCTGGGGCTAATTAACGAACTCGGCGTATCGCTTGGGCCAATGTACACGCCTCCCAGCACGTGTAGAGGTTACTGGATCAGTGTTACTAGACGTGGCTCTTTTAGAAGGTTCAGGATACGCGCGACTAAACGAGTCTGTTTGGAAGTCCGGCGGCAAGGGTCTGGGTGTGCCTGTGGAGGTGTCGCACAATATTGACACTTCACTGTTCAGGAGCGGTAAACGCTGTATCTTCAGAGAGGATGAGTGTTGAAGTTTTTCAATCTCCTCGTCTGAATCCTGAAGTTCGGCAATCTTCCGTAAGTCGACTGCTCGAGGCAAAGTAGTGGTGCAAACGCGAGACAGTGCGTCCGCGACAGGGTTATTCGCACCAGAAATATGACGGATGTCCGACGTGAATTGCGAAATATAATCTAGGTGACGTAATTCACGCGGTGAATATCTGTCAGTAGTGGTGTGTAAGGCATACGTCAGAGGTTTATGGTCGGTAAAGATGATGAAGTCACGACCTTCCACAAAATGACGAAAATGTTTCACTGAGGCATATATGGCGAGCAGTTCCCTGCCGAAAGTGCTGTACCGCATTTCGCAGGTGGATAACTTCCGGGAGAAGAATGCAACTGGGATCCAAGTGTGATCCGAAAGTTGTTGCAACACAGCTCCAATGGCCGTGTTAGAGGCGTCAACCGCAATGCTAAGAGGTAGGTTTACGTCTTGATGCACCAGCATCGTGGCGTCTGCTATTGCGGTTTTGATCTTGCGAAATGCTTCTAGTGCCTCAGGAGTCAAGCTGAAAGTTTTACATTTACTTTTCAGCAGGTCGGTCAGTGCAGTCAAAATGTGTGCACATTGGGGAACGAAGCGACGATAATAGCTCACCATACCCAGAAACACACGCAGAGCTTTAAGTGACGCTGGGACTGGGAAGTCTTGGATCGCCTGTACCTTTTCAGGTAGTGGGCGAATGCCTTGCTCGTCGATAACGTGTCCCAAAAATTTTAGTGAACGAACGCCAATTTGGCATTTGGCCAGGTTGACTGTCATCGAATGCTCTGACAGTCTGGCGAAAACCTGTTTCAAGTGGTTAAAATGGGTGTCTTCGTCAGGACTAGCGATTAGTATATCGTCTAGGTAGGCATAGGCGAAATCGAGTCCACGTAAAACATCGTGAATAAAACGTTGGAAGGTTTGTGCTGCATTGCGAAGACCAAAAGGCATACGGAGGAACTCAAAAAGACCAAACGGTGTAATGACGGCTGTCTTGGGAACATCATCAGGATGAACCGGGATCTGATGATATGCACGCGTCAAGTCAAGCTTACTGAAGATAACCGAGCCTTTTAAAGATGCAGTCAAGTCGTGAATGTGAGGGACTGGGTAACGATCTGGAATCGTTTTAGCGTTGAGCCTTCGGTAGTCACCACAAGGCCTCCAGTCCATGCCATTGTTCTTGGGTACCACATGCAAGGGTGAAGACCATGGACTGTTGGATGGTCTGATTATTCCCATTTCAAGCATGTGTTCGAACTCGGCTTTTACAGCACGCAGTTTCTCCGGGGATAATCGCCGTGGTTTCGCAAACACTGGCGGGCCAGTCGTCGTTATGTGATGAGAAACGTTCGAAGTCACACAAGGGACACAACGACTTGGCTTAAAGACATCCGGAAAGGACTGAATGATAGACGCGTAGGGACTAGAAGCGTCCGTCGTGCAGTACACGGGACTGAGGGGCGGCGTCTTTGTGACTATACCGGAAACAGAGAGTGTTGTGGTAGAATCTATCAACTTATGCTTGCCAGCATCTACCAGCAGCTGATAGTGCTGCAAGAGATCCATACCAATAATGCCGGTGGTCACATCTGCCACTATGAAAACCCAACGAAAGGGACGACGCAATCCAAGGTTGAGATCGAGGAATCTCCGACCATAGGTTGTGATGGGCGAACCGTTGGCGGCACGAAGTTGCAGAGACATTGGCCGCAGACGCTCTTCCTTCGTAGGTGGGATGACGCTAGCTTCTGCCCCAGTGTCAACTAGGAAGCGTATCCCAGAATGTCGATCAGTGACGAAGAAGAGGCGACATGGAAGTGGCTCGCCAGCGACGTTAGTCGCCGTCACGTGCTGGCTCACACGTTTCCCGCCTGGTTAGCCTCGAAGGTGCAAGGTCGAGTGCACCTTTTGGCATTGGCACCATAACGTTTATGGTACCAGCACAACCTGGGTTGGGATTGTCGCGATTTGGAACGTCTGCTACCGGTACGGGAGGCAGACCTGTTGCGCGAGCGAGACGTGCGACCGTTGAAGAACTACCAGACCGCATTTCGTTCCTGATGCTGCACAACTCTTCATACAATTTGAGATGTGAGCTATAACATCGAAACTTGTTGGCTCAACAGCCGAGGGAGGATGTGGGTTTTTTGACGAATCCGTGGCAGTAGACAGTGCAGCTGAGATACTAGTGTTGGGTTTCGTAGCATCCACAGCTCTGTCAGCCGCTTCCGCCAGCTCTATTAAGGGACACTTATGGAAGGGTGCGAGGATCCCTTGAACCGACTGTGGTAACCTCTGTAACCACAGTTGCTTGAGAAATGCTTCATCAATGTTGAAGTCAGCAATCAGCTGCTTCATCTGACGAAGCAGTTGCGTCGGCTTGCGATCACCCAGATGCACATCCCTGAAAAGTTCTTGCACTTTCTGCTGGTCAGTAAGTGCAACACGTTTGATGAGGGCGGTTTTGAGGCGATCGTAAAGATTCGGTGCTGGGTCATCTAGCACATCTGAGACGTCTTCGATCACATTTTCCGGTAAGCTGACGATGACTAAGTTGGACTTAGTTTCTTGTGATTGAATGTGTCTCAAGGCAAACTGAGCTTCCACATGGGAGAACCATGCAGATGGTCTGTGGGCCCAGAAGGTGGGAAGCTGGAGGGTTACGGCCATCTGCGCAGTCGAGTCGTTATCCGCCATTGATCAGGGAATTAACGAGGCACGATAGTGATAATAAAAAAATTACAATGCAAAAATAACCAATGAGGAGTGCAATAATTAAAAAAAACGCTAGACGTGCCAAAAACAAAATAGGCCAGACAAATCAACGCAAGAGAACAAAGGTACTAGACAAAGTAAGAAGTGATACTCGGGCTCACCAATTTTTGTAGGGATGCGTGTTACAATTCCGTAACGTTTGATCAACCCTACTTAATTTGATGTGCTCTAGTACCTGCTTAACCAGTACTTTACCTAACGTGTAAGTACTGGTAACAAAACACAAATCAAAAGAACTGATACGCAATGTATTTAAAGGAGCTATGTATTTAAGGTAAATGTAATAATAATGAATGAGGGAAAAGTTTAATCAACTTATCTGGCTTGTAAGGCTGAACTAGGGACTCGGAGTACGTGCGTGGTGATCAGCACAATGGAGCGCAAAAATGGCGTCCAAGCCTGCTCGGATGCATGCTCGTTAAAACAAAACTTAAAACACCCTAAGCATCCGGAGGCAAGCTAGAGATTTATTTAGTTAATTTAATTTAAACTATTTATTTTAGCCCTAGTTATATTTTGGTGCCAGGAAGGTGCACTACAACGTTGAGGTGAAGAGTTGCCATTCCGCCATTCTATGCTCTGTTCTATGATGATGCGTAGTGCAGCGTTGCGATTTGATCCTCACATGATTTGCTGTTCCTAAAGCTAGCTTGCCTCTGTCATAATTCTGAACTCACAGCATGTTTTAGTCTCTCCAGGGTGACGCAGCCTAATATTTTGCTTGGGATGGATAGGGAGGGAGCATGATTCCACAGCAGTTGTTGCTTATGGCGTCAGTTTATTCCAGGAAGGTTGCCAAAGGGTTGATTTGGTCTTAGATTGGATGTTCTTATAAAGATAAGCAAGTGCCAGTTAAGTTACTCTCATGGTTTGCTAATTTTACAATGGTGACCGTTGTGCATAAATTGTTTTACACCAAGAGAAAAAGGTAGTTCATAGACTCTCATGACACATTCTTTCAATGTTGACACTTATAATAACACCCTGATATTTGAAAATGCACCACTTTTCTATGCAGCAGTTTTTTCACCTGAGTGCAACTTTTATTATCGTGGGCTCTGAAAAGCGCGGGATGTAAATGGAGTTGATTTTTCATGAAAAGGTACTTTTTATAATAATCCTCATGAGAATGGTTAGCAAGAAGGCTCTTTATGCGCTCAGCATTGTCTAAATGCACTTCTACAAGGTCCCTATTTTACAGCTGTAGACCTAGCTAACATCGCTAGCCAGTTAGACGAACAAGAAGTGTCAGAACTTGGCAACAATCGTAGTTCGCTGCAGCGATTTCAGAACATGGATGAAACGGGCTACTTCTCAGTACAGGTAGGTATCTTGAGCACGGTAGTCTTCTTGCATTCATACGAGAGTCCTGCTTCTTAATGAAGATAAGTTCAGGTTAACGTGAACCTTTGGGTTTTTCGAGGAGAATGTTTGGGCGCAGTTTGAAAAATTTGGAGTTTTTGGGGAAGTTTTTTGACAATTTCGGGCGCGACGATGTATTTTCGGTAGTAATCTCGAAGTTTAATTGCCGTATTTTACCGAAAAATTTCAAAGTACGCCCAAGTTTTTGCCGGCTGGGTTCTTAGTTGACGTTCAGTTATTATCAACTTATTGATAATATTCTCCACATCATATCACATATCTCCATACGTTTTGAAACATGCATTGACCTATTGTAGTAAGTGTCATAAAGCTCGTTACTGAATAGTTCATGAGGCCTCATACATCGATGTACACTTCTCAACTTATCAAGCATGACTAGTTTGCCAGTGATCAAATTTTTGCTGTATATTACGGATTCTGTTATCGTAATGAAAGGGATGTAAAAGTATGAACTTGGCGCATGTTTCTATATCTGTTAGTGACTTCTGCATCTATCTCTTCCATTCGTTCATGTTTGTGCCCACCACTAAAAATATTTTTATCACTAATGGTTCTCGTAAAAATGCAGCTCAGCAACCGTGTGCAAATCTTTGTACTTAACCATGAACTGAACCTGTTATGTATAAGAGCTTGTAATATTTATGGACTGGTCAAAACCCAGCTGGCAAGGTGAGGTCCGAACCGATGGGCTGCTGGGTAGATCTCACATACATAACCCAATTAGTCCAACTCAGGGTGCAGATAGAGCTGGTTATCATTGGACTTCTCGTTTCTAATGACAGTAAAACATGAACGCCTACGAAAGGTTATATTTATTACACGATAATACCGTCTGTTCTTGTACATAGTGAAGCCCGGTTGTCAAGGATGAAAGCTTTATGAAAGTTATCTACATTTTCTTATTGACACTTTTAAGACCATTAGTTCGTAGTGAGGCTAGACTGAACACTTCTTGTTCTTGTATATGCACATCTAAACTTGGAGCATTGGAGGAAACAGAAGAGTTAGGTGAAAGAGCAAGAAGTCATCGACAGGAATATTTCGAACCATTCTGATGTATGAAGTACCACTGCATTTGTCGTCCTGTTATTCTGAGTTTAAGTTGGCTTCAGTGTGTGTATAGTCAACAAGTAACTTCCGTAAAGTCTGGGGCATGTGGATTGTTGGGCTACCCGATTGTGGCACTCATGACACGCAAAATCGGCGTTCAGAGCATAGGCGGTGCCGACCAGGATCGATCCTAATCATTCAGGTGCATTCACACCTTGTATTTCTCTGAATCTCAGATATCATATTTTAAGTGCGTTCTTTTCACTTGTTAAGTATGTTTCTATAGTTCCTGTCATTCGTTCTTTTTCGTTTTGTTTGTTTTGGATCCCAACGTGCATTGTTTGGGCTTTGTTTGACAAGTAATCGTTTGAGATTGTACTGTTTCACTGTTTTTCGAGTTTCCCTTTCAAAAATCTTTGTTCTCCCAGGGAACTTGCGTACCGTTATCAAACTTGTAACTCAGGTGGGTATCTATTGTTTCAAGCTATCATGTGGTTAGGTCGAACCTCTCTGTGAAAAAAATGATGTAGAGTCATAAATTTCTGAAAACCCTGACTTTTGCCCCTGGCTTCAAAAGTTGTATGTTCTCAACAAATTTCTCACTGTTTGACTAAGTAGTCTTACTCGCTTTTGGTTTTATTTTTACTTAGTATACGGTTTCAAAAAGGGTTAGCTTTCTGCAGGACTCATCTGTAGTCAGAAATCAACTTATTGACTAGAAGCTTCAAATACTGAGTAAACGTCAGTTATGGCGTGTATTCTATCACTGTTCTGTAGATGCTCAGGAACGTTATTGCATCTGTCTACCACTCAGTCGTTCATATTTCCTTTTTCATCATCAAGTTATACCTTAGTTAAGTTTTTATTCCCCTACTTTTGTGAAGCATTACCATATGACGTTCTCTGATGTATTTTTCCGTCTGATCTCGTTTTTTATGCCAATAACTTACGTATCAAAGTACTGAGCTGCTATGGAAATTTGTATTTATATCTTATAAAATCCCACCTGGTTATGTAGTATCTTATGTATGATACTGCGAATCACACCAGTTACTACTAGATTGGTCATTCCGTCTTTCACTTTAATGGTACTAGGTAGCTAAAAGTAGTCGCTATGATGAGCACCACAATATTTCCTGGGACAAATTTGAAAATAGACTTTTTTGAATCCGCTGTACAGTGATTCTTTCAAGAGCATATGATGTTCTCACTTTTCTTGTATGTTTTGAGATGCTGTCTTGATTTATGCGTCTTTCTTTTTCTAAAAACTTTTGTTTATTGAGGATTCCTGCATGGCGCTGTATGTCACTGTAATAGTACCTGTAGGATAGGCTTGTAACTAACTTTATTTCAGTCGGAAGAATCATATTATTACACCTAATTATTTTAAGAGGTAAAACAGACTATCATAAATGTTATGACTCGTTACCATTCTGTCAGACAACAGTCCATGAGGTATCGGTTTGACTATTTCTGCTTGTTGCTTTGTAGGTACAGACTCAATTAAGTGTTTTCGGAAGTGGTATAGCAGTTTGATTATGTGAATGGTTAGCCCAAAGCGTCATTACAAAATGCAATCGGTTTGACCGTAGGTTATTTTCTCTTGATTGTTGCTTGCATGTTTTTACTGCTGACAGAGTTAACTTTGTCTTCGTATTAGACAAACATATAGCAGTTTCGGTACATAGTTTAAATTCTATTGCATATACTTATAAATTCTTTTATATATACTAGTGGACGCTTCCATAAAGCAAAGACGATTAAATAATAATATTAATACAATAGACGTCACAGATAGAGAAGTTACAACTAGAACAATATATAAGAAATGATAAGTATATGCAACAGAATTCAAACTATATACTGAAACTGCTACATATTTGTCTAATACGATCGTCTAATACTATACGTAGTTCCCTGCCCCAGGGGTCACTTAGGATTAAAATAGAAGACGGATCAAGACCAACACGTCAAGGGGAATCAACAACAGTGGACTAAAATTATATAGTAACTATAGCATATTTTATGGCAATAACAAAGCCGTCTTTACAGAAGTAATCTGATTGTTGATAATCCCATTTGTTATACTTATGATTTAGTTTGAGTAATCCTGGGTGAAAGTAAATAAACTTCCTCTGATATATTGATATAGTGTACCAACTTAGACCGATACGCAGTAATGCCAGGTGCTCTGTTGATACTGACTGGCTAAAATGGGGCTGTGCAATGTAAACAACGCCATTGAGTAAGCAGTAAATTTTCTTGGGAATAGTCCTATTTCCCAGCAGTATACTTAATGTCTTCTTAAAATTTTCATCATTACATGCCTACAGGTTATTAGCAAGGCCCTGCAAATATGGTCTCTCGAACTTGTACCATTTTTGAGACAATGTCCAGAAGCAGAATACGCTCGCGAAAATCCGGCTGATCAAAACGCCTTTATTTGTCATTACCAACATCACTGGTTTACAATAAGAAAAATTGGAAAACAGTGGTTCAATCTAAACTCAATTCTTCCGGCACCCAAACTGATTTCTGCAACTTACTTGGCTATTTATTTAGCTCAGCTTAAAGAAGAAGGAAACTCAATCTTTTTTGTCACCGGTACCTTACCTCAGTGTGAAGCTGATCAAGTACTATCTGTATGTTTTCCTAATCTTTTAATTAACTTTACATTCGGTTAAGAAGTTTCATTTTGTTGCATGTTACCATTGAGTGACATTCAGTGTTATCAATGTATATAACGCAATTAATGAGAGTTAGAAATATGGCTTATTGGCCTAAACATTCAACTTTAAAGCAGTTGGTTCAAGGCTTGAATCCTACTTCATCTACTTCGGCGTTGGCAACCGTGTAGCATAATGCACTCTGATACATTGTGGCTCATAGCCTAGTCAAAAAATGCACTGGGTTGAGTTGAATTCAGTTTATTCGTCAATACACTCATTTGATACTGTTAAACTTCCTTCGTTCATAAGTTTATTTTAGTCGTCCAAAAGGTATTATGACTTGCATTTGTCAGCTTGAACTTGGACCACAGATGGTCAACATATTACTTCCTCCACCTGATTGTCATTTCTGTTGCTTACTAGTGACAACTTTTAAATATGATATTGTAAAATTCAACTCGCCTCTTATATCCTCGTTTTGTAAAGTAAGCAGTAATGCATAGGTAATTTATTGCGAATGCAAAGTAATTTATATGAACTGTGATCAAAATTCGACTGACTAGTATGGCAAAAATTGGGCGCTGAGTAGAAGGTTGACATTAGATATAGTTTGTACTTGTCTAAGTCACAGTCTTTGAAATGAAATAATTCCAATGTTGAAATTATTTCATAGAGTTTGCCACTATCTATTAACGCGTTAAAATTTAAGATTCTGATGTTGTTTACTGAATACATGATAAATTTGAGTTAAAAGTTTGTTCTATTCCAAAAATATCAAAACCATCGAATACAAAAACTTTCCTGATTTTGTAACCTGTCTTTTGCCCAAAATGTATTTGCATATGCTACTTAGATAGCTTTTATCGATGTAAAATAAATTGTGCTATTATTCCACAGATGCTGTTAAATGTTTAGTTGTTTTCTGGTAACTGGTCTTTAAGTTTTTATTAGTGTTTCCTATGCGTTCTGCTACGTTATCTCTCTTAGCTTCAGTGTTTTAACCACTACTTTTTTTCACTTTCTCTCTTTGTGCTGATTTCTCTCTGTAGTTCTTACACAAATTAAGATGATGCACACGTCCCACTTATATCCTTGAGGTCTACCCACTGTGTAACCGACTGGTAAGCACATCTTTTAGCTCTATAGTCATTCACGTAAACAGTTATGGGCACATCTTCAAGCAGTGATGCCATAATGAACTCAAAAATGTTCAACATAGCATCAATGATAGTCAAAAAAGTCACTAGTTTATGTTCTATGTACATTACCTAAATTTATACGTTATACGCTAGTTCGGTTATGCTTCCACGTGTAAAATATAATAAAGTCAACACCTAAGAGAAGGCCAGTTAGTCGCAATGATTTTTGTGTATGCATTATTTTATAGTTTTATTGTTAATCCAAAATCCATTGACATTGGAGTTGATGCATGTAGTCGGTCAGCGACCAATGAAATCTCCGGATACTAAGATACAGATACGAAAAGCTAAGTTGACTTTCGCCAAATTATACCATTTATATCACTGCTGTTCTATCCGGATTTCTGTTAAGGGTCGAGTGTACTGCAGTTCGCTCTGTTCTGCTACACGGATGTGAAATATGGTCATTGAAGGTAGAGGATATGACCACCGTGGCCTTCGTAGCTTAGGCCTTGTGTTATGGTGTCGCTACGTGCTTAATGTGGAAGTCAGGCGTAAATTTCGAGGAAGACGAAATCCAATTCGTGTGGTTGTAGACCTTCATTGGCTATGGTGGCTGAGGCATGTTACGCAAGCCTAGTTGCCGTCTGCCCCGTGGTACATTGTTAGCTGAAGTATGATCAGGTTGAAAATGGTTAGAGGCGACAAGACTAAGAAGTGGCATCAGTCCCTGAAGTCTTCTACTGATATTCTGAGCCATGTAGGAAAATGTAGGCTTCTCGGCTGGGGTGCGTATGACAGTAGAAACCAGTGGTGTGAGACTCAAAACGATATATCTCAGAACCAATCTGTGCCACATGTCGTACCCACATATTATCTTCACCTTAATTGTTATGCTGAATTTCAGTAATGTTTCATTCCTCCTCGCTCTCTTGACGACTTTCTACCACTTTTTATTGCAAGTTCCTATAGTGATTTTGTCTACTTATCTGTAGTGTGTGTTCTTTAGTAAGTGACTACGGACTTCCAAAGGAAGCGTATCTGTTCATATAGAATTATTAATGTGCACAAAAGAGGTTTGTCATTGCATACCTAGAGTCCTAATAAATAAGGATTCAGCGAAAAGCAATGCCAACAGATAAGTGGCTTTTCATATTTATAAGTATTCCAGTGTAGTTGAGAGGTCTGAGGAACTTGAGATGTATTTTAGAAGAGTTTACTAGTCAGTTACGTTATTGTTTCGAGGCCATGAATAAAGGATAGAATAGATGAGCTTTCGTTGGGCTACTGCACTCGAGATAATGATCGGTAGGTTTAGTTAGATGTCTTGGAAATCACTCCACCACTGACTTCAACTTTATGTGTCACGTTCGTTTCTGTTAGGTCGAGATTTTCGCCTATTTCGATTTCTGGAATCATTTGGTGGTTGTAATGTTTCTGTTCATGCACGCTTAAAAAGCTCCATCTCCGGTTTGGTTTGTGGCATTTGCAAAGTGAATGTAATTATAAATTTCAAAATGCTGCTAGTTTTCGATACTTAGTCACATGAGAACCCGAATTCTTAAGAAAAGTATGTCATTGTGTCCTTTCAACTGTTGTTGACACTGTTAAGGATTTATTTAACCTCTCTCTAAGTCTGTCTTATTACAACCTATTCCTTTTTATTATACATACGCTACTTTCTGATATATATATATATATATATATATATATATATATATATATATATATATATATAGTTTATATTATTGAATCTGTTGCAATTAATTAGATTTGTCCTGTTCCTGAAAATGCTGTAAGCAGCTCCTCCGCATCTAATCGACGCAATACAGGTCAAAATGATCTGGAGACAGAAGTCGACCTTGCCTTGGCTATCAGTGAAGCAGATGTTGATGATGAAGATGAAACACTTAAACGGGTTTTACAATCATCTACGGATGATGACGTAGAATTACAACATGCCTTGCAAATTTCAGCGGAAGTAAGTAGTTTTGATCTTTGGGCTAACCGACTGCCTTTGCTTTCTAAATACCTAACACATTGATTTTTCTAACGTTTTAGGTGGTTTTTATTAATATTTTTCACATGATTCACAAAACCATATACGCTTTAGGTTCTTTTTAGCTATACATTCTCTCATCTGCTATTAAATTTTATGTATGGATAGATGTGTGGATGACTGCAACTAGGTTAGGGAAACTCAATCCCTAGAAGACAGCAACAGCAAAGGGTGGGAAAAGTCTTCAAATGATATTGTGGACTGAATGCACATTTTTAAAGGTGCTTGCACAACTGGTTTCATACAATTGCTTTGTAATTAGTTTTATAAGGTTACCTTCTGTGAATTGTTTTATACTATACTGTTATGGTTTCGAAGCGCTAATAGTTTATATATATATATATATATATATATATATATATATATATATATATATATATATATATATATATATATATATATATATATATATATATATATAGACTGCAACCCTGGGACGAATAGAGAGAAGACCGAAGCTGGCAGATGGGAGAGTGTATTACTCCGAGAATATAATATAATAACAATGAATCAATCCGAAACACGTGAATAAGTACACACATGAAAATGACCTTGTCCGCAATTGGAGACATCTCGACATCTCCCATTTTGTTTTGATGGCTGACGTGAAGATTTTCTGTGTAGTTTCGTCTTTCAGTTTCTGTTCAGGGTGTTGAACTTGAACTGTGGTCTATCATCAGTTTCCATGAAGGCTTTCAACTTGATTTGGAAGGTTTCTGGCACTAGATAGTGTGTGGTCTGAACCTACATCTGCTCCTCTTCTTCACCTTGTGTCAAGCAGACTGCGTCTCCATTTTCTTGAGATTGAGATAAAGTCGATCTGATTTTTAGTGTAGTGTGTCCTGGTGTCTGGTGAAATCAAATCCATGTCGCTTTGTGGATATCCTTGTGCTTGAACACAGTGCCTGACTCCAATCACCAAATCTTTGAATGCACAAAATTCTGCGAATAGTTCTCCATTCTCGTTTATTTCACCGAGTGCTTCTTGACCTATGGTTAGTTCTCTTCCTGTATTGTCCGCTCCCAGTTTGGCATTCATGTCGCCCATTAGAATGGATTTTGATGTTTCCAACTGGAGTGGGGTCTTGTCCAGTGTTGATTGCAGTTGTCTGTAGAATTCCTCCTTCTTCTCTTGCTCTGCATTATTTGTAGGTGCATAGCGTAGCATTGTATGATTGTGACCTTCCTTCCTTTTGAGTTGAACCTTGCTGTTATGATCCTGGAGGAGATTGGTTCCCAATGCATGAGAGAGAGCATTCGATGCTGTTTAGGACATCATGATTGCCACTCCCTCAGTGTGCTCGTTGTTGTCGTCTGAGTGAGAATATCGGAGTAGGTTACTGATTCTCCAGTTGATAGTTTGGAGAGGCCACTTCCACTCCATCTGCTTTCGCAAATTCCTAGCACTTCAATGTGATACCTTCTCATTCCGTTTGCAATCTGGGCTGCCTTGTTGGGTTCAAACATGGTGCGGACATTCCATGCCCCCACATTTACTTTCGCTTTCATCGAGAGAAGACACATTGGCCAATTGACTTCCCAAAGGCTTTCACCAACTGGCGTCATTTCGTCTCTCCGATTCCAGTGAAGAATAAATTTGTTTTTGTTTTTTATATTTTATTTGTGCTTTGAAGTTTCTTTAGCGGTTTGATTTGTTTTACGGGGTAGGGTTGCTAGCCCTATGCCCAACCTTCCCTTTTTATGCTGGCTTAGGACCGGCTAGTAACTAGTGAACTAGTTAACCAGGCGAGGCGTAGTAAAATTTTAGGAGACTAGCGTGGTTTCATGGATGTCAATCTATTGCCTTCATTGAAGGTTTAATCCAAAAGATTTGGTCTTATAAAAGGAAGTATTTTGTACCCATCTAATTTTTGGATAGTAGTGAGATTTCCTACTGATTTGTCAATTCTTTTTAACCTTTATATTTTTACTTTTAGGAGTATAAAGATACGTCTGATATGGAGCTACGTGAAGCAATTGCCTTAAGTTTGACTTCTGGTAAGTTTTTTGCAGGTAGTAATTTAGCTTTTTTAATCGACTCTATTAGTATTAATAATAAATAAGTTTTCACTTCAAATTATTTATTTTTCGAATATTTATAGCTCTTTGTAAGTGCTAATTAAAGTAGGCCACGAATTAAATTCATAGTATCTGTGTGCTAGTTGTACTGTCGGCTGTCTGGAACCAAAATGGAAAGTAGAGGATTTAGTCTTCTTGCCTAGTGGTTGTGAGTCAGCTTTTAAACGCATCTAGAAACTGTTGAAACTAAAATTTGTATTCAGATAAACTCATAGCCTACACACTTTGTTCACAAGATACATCATTAAAGGTTAATTGTTGCTACAAAATTTAAAGTAATGTCAGTTGGTCTGCAAGTTAGTGCTAAAATAAAACCGGATATGTCTGAATGGAGATTCAGAAAGTAACATCTTACATGAGCACATCAAGATGGAAGAATAAAAAGACAAACAAAAGGAGTCGAATCAGCATGGAAAACCATAAGAACTGAAGAAGATGGTGCAAAGCAAACATTGAAACCCTGATGGTAAGATGGACACAAGAGATGGATACATTTACATTGTTAAGATCAATTCTGAGCCATATCATCAAAAGTCTACGAAGCTAATATTATGGATGCATGTACAGCACAGCCGTATCACCTACGATCTCCGAACACTTAACTTCGTTGCCACGCGAACCCCAACCGGAAAGCCTGGATTTCCTCATATGGTTTAGATTTAAACGTGGTTCTAAAATTCCTTTTGTTTCCATTCGCTTTTGTCTATTTTGATGTCTTTGTTTTTTATCCACCTCTTCTTTGCATGCTAAAGTGTGGCGACTTGAACTAACACACTTCTTTTCGATATTGTGGGTCAGTTTTTTCTGTCTGTCATTGCTTAGACCAGCAGTCAGAAGTTTCGTCTATTAGTTCCATCCTTCATCCAACCAAATCTATTTCATCTTGCATTCCTCGATGAAGTAGACACGACTAGGCGTACCTAACGCATGTTCCAGCCGCCTCACCTGATAAAGGTTTGAAGCCTCATAATCTGATTTACCTCTCATACCTAAGACTCTATATCTGGCTCCCACTTTGGCACCGTGAGGGCTTCGTGACACACACGGAATGTTACGAAGGCATTCGAGGCAAAACACATAAAGCTTGATCATTTCTTCGACCCTAACGGTCATGTTTCTCAGACGAAATAAAACAGAGTAGCCTGTTTCTCACTGTACTCAACTTGTACTAGATATTCAGACGCCACAGATGACATAATTTGGTGGGAGCTAAGCGAACCTCTTTTCCCTGTGCTTAGATGTTGTTGGTCACTGATCCATCAGGACTGATGCTTCTTCCCAACCAAGTGGAGGGGTCAACCCATTAAATCACTTCACTACCTTTTTTTGTGTGAGGTTTTGGCGCAGACTAGTCGCGAAGTATTAATTTGTATTAGGAAAGTGAGAAAGCTATCTTAGACATTCTCAAACTGGCACTCATGTCCAGAAGACTACATCTTGTCAGCACCTTCACATAACAGGAATATGTTATCTGCAGGCTATCATTCGTCTACGAAACCCCTGAGAAAGGTCTATCATTTTCATCTCAAATGAGACTAGTCTCCATAAGCACGTCCATAATAAATTTAAATCAAAATGGAGACAGTAACCATCGTTGGTGGACACCATTCAAAATAGACAAGTCACCTGATGCCTCACCATAGGCTGTAACTTGCCCATGATGCGCGAATATAGAGCCTTCTCTGCAGTGATGTACTTATGCGCGACACCTTTCAGTGACAGACAATACCATAATATCTCTCGATCTATGGAGTCAATTACTCTAATTCAAGTAGTACAGCCATTGTCGGGCGCCGACCAGTATGTCTGAGTTCCAAGATCTGATGGAGGGTAAAGACCAGGTTGAAACACTCAGGATTGTATCTGAAGTCTGGCTGGTTCCCTTGGGTTTCACATTCCCAAGCTTCGCTCAGACGTTTGATGATTATAAGACCTAAAGTCGTTGATATTTTGTTTTAGACTGATCCTACACTTATCATAAGAGAATTTTTCTCTGTTGAAGACTTTAGCCCTCAGTGATCAGAATCATTCGGTTGTCCTATCATAGCTGATTTCTATACTCCAGTTAGTGCTGCATGCATTCTCACAAATAATAGTAATCCACCGCCTTTCGGTACCTCTGGTGCTTTCTCGTTCGAAACTGCTGCCCTTCCGTGTTTCAGGTTACCTAAAATTCCCCCAACTTCTGTAAGATTTGGAGATCCTATGTCGATGTTGCATTCAGATTGCAACGGATACGTATATGGAAGCCTAATGAAGTGTTCATGCCGTCGTTATAGGCGCCAAGCTTTTTTATGATAGCTAACATTTTCACTTTCAGATAACTACTTAACCAGTTCTTCTTTGAAGACAGTTTTAACCCCCGCATTATCGAGTTAAGCCATGCGTCGGTCTCTTGGTTATAGTTTATTCACGTCTATATCGGTGCAGGTATGCACTTGGTTGAACAAATTTGTCATCACCGTTCTACTACGTGCTTGATAACCTGACAATATTCGATCAACACCATAGTGATTACTGACAGTGAAATGGTCTATTTAAGTCTACTTTCAAGATCCATAGACACCACATCAGATATCGTTTCTTTTGTCTGAAGTTTGTGCTGCTTAATAATAGGGGGTTGTGTGTGTACTGCTGTAACAGGTTTCCGTTGTTATCCATGCGTGTGGAATAGATTCTGAAAGTACCACTTAAGTCCCTGCAGTCTTACAGGTGTAGGTATAGTACTAGACACTTAAACAAAGTTCTCTGCTCGACTGAATCCCTGTTGACAGTCACTTATGCACTGTCTGGCTGAATGGTACAGTGAGGACTTAAACGAATAGTGAAACTCGCCGTTGTCTCTTTATAGTTTCTACTTACTCAGCCACTAACTGCAGTTCAGATGAAGTGAAAGATCAGTTTTACCGAACACTGAAAGTCAGGGTATCGGACGTGGCAGTTGTTGCAGGTGACTTCAATGCACAACTGCGTAGCCTGAGTCAGGCAGAAAAGTACTTAGGTGGCACTTTCGGAATCCTGGCTGAACGAATAGATAACGGTGATCGCTTACTACAACTGTACTCAGATAACTGTTTATTTCTAGCTGGTACAAACTTCAAACAAAGAAAAACGTTGTTGAACGTGGCGTCCACCTAGATCAACCCAGCGATGGACACAGACAGACCATATTGTTATCAGTCATCGCTGGAGGTCGGTGGAAGACAGCTGCTCCTTCTGGAGCACGTGTTTGGATAGGGACCATGCGTTGGTTCATGCACCTGTATGTCTGATTCTCAATGAACGTAGAAAAACTTTAGCAACTAGACCATTACGATTGCAGCTCGACAATGAGAGCACTAAGGCTGTTTTCAGTAAAAAGCTGACTTGACAGTTATTGGAAAAATATGACTCATCCAGAAGAAGCTTGACGCCATTTCCACCCTCCTGTCAAAATAGCATTGAGAAACGTAGCGAACTATCAGAAAGTGGTTAGAAAGGGCCAGTGGATCTCAGTCTTTTATTGTGAATTAATGAATGTACTGGGACGCATTCCTGCAGGTTCTAAGCACATTGAAGAACGAATGCAACTCAAACGTAAACTGATAAAAGGTTTACGCAGTGACCCCGAACAGTGGCGAAGAGTGAGGAATAAAAAGATGGAAAAGGCAGCGGTGTTACATAACAGTAGACAGTTATTTAGATTTAATAAAGAAAATGGAGCGAATAGGTCAGTCTTTAGTATGAGGATTGAGGAGAAGGATGGGTCTGGTATTAGTTTGCAGGGAAGATGACTAAAACGATGATGGGAACACTTTGATGAACAGTTCAACTGGCCTCCAGCTACTATTTGGTTCCCCGTTATCCGATCAGAGCCTAAATGGGACTGACTGACAAAATCAACGTAGAACTTCGCACAGGAGTGCTTCGGCTCAAGTTGCCACACTTCACAGAACTCAAAGAACTGGTGGATAGAAAAGGAGTGACATCAAAGTCGATAAAGTAGTGTGAGGAAATAAACCATCTGAGGGTAAAGGTTAGTTTAAATATTCAGACTTTGAAAGATGTCAAGGAGTGAATACGTCTGCGCCATTGTGACCGATTTTCATCCATGTCACTAAGTGTCCTCAGTCACTGGTTCCCTTCGCCTCAAGGACTCCAAACAGACACTACATTTCCCCACACGGCTCAGGTCGCTGGCAAGGGACATCACCAAGTGGTGCCAGGACGGCAGTCAAGAAGTTTTGGACAAGTTAACTGAAGTATTAAACAGTGTGTGGGAGTGAAATATGATTCCCTTCAAACTATCTCAGTCACTGGTTGTCCCAGTCTTCAAGAAACGTGGTAACCACAGAGGAATCAGCCTGAAGAATGTAGTATCTAAGATTTTGGGTTATGTGATCATTAGATATCTTAGTTGAGCTCGGGAACAGCAAGCTCGAGAAAACGAGGCAGGCTTCATACCTAGTCGAGGGTGTTTCTACTAGGTTATGGAACACAGACACACTTACTGACCCCCGACATTAGCTATATTTCTCTACCTGATAGCGACGTTCTAGTGCGTCTGTCGAGGTCTCGTGGCAGTGTATCTCACTTACAGGGGATACCGAATAAGTACATCACTCTGATAAAGGCTCTTTACTCGAACACGCATCAGCGCGTTAGAGTCTATGCTGGATTTTCATGCAAGGATCCCCGCTCTCTTCATTCCTTTTCACTTTTGCCTTACGGGAGGTCTCCCTCTCGTCAACTGACGTCACCGGGATTGACCTAACCAAAGGAAACTTCTTGGTAGACCTAGAATACGCAGATGACATAGTTCTGTTAGGCGAGGATGCCGACAAGATACAGAGTCTGCTGGCAATTTAAGAATGTTTGGGATGCGTTTCTCGCTACCCAAATGCAAATGTTTGCTCCATAACTGATCTCCAGTGGTGCCCTGGTTAACAGCAGAAAGTGAGGTAGAAAGTTGGATCAGCCCTGATGTGTCAGTGATCGACAAAACTCCTACACGGATACAAAAGTCTCGACTGGCTTTCGCCAGCTTACGCCATCTGTGGCGTCACTGCGATGTGCGATTTTCTATCAAAGGTCGAGTGTACTGTGCTGCAGTTCGCTCCATTCTACTCTATGGCTCTGAAACGTGACTAATAAAGGTAGAGAAAATGAGAAGGCTTCTGGTATTTGACCGCCGTTGCCTACGTAACAAAGGCCATATTCCGTGGTGTCACCACATGAGCAACGCAGAGGTCAGGTGTAGAGTTTTAGGTGGAAAGTCGGTTGACTAGGTCGTGGACCTTCATCGACTAAGGTGACTGAGACATCCGTTACGCATGCCTAGTCACCGTCTGCCTCGTCGCGCAATGTTGGCTGAAGTAGGTCCAGGCTGGAAAAAAGCTTAGGACAGCCAGACTAAAACATGGCATCACTGCACGAAATCTTTGACCGCTTGTTTGAGCCCTGTTGAGGGATGCAGACTAGCCGGTTATGGTCCGTGTGACAACAGAAACTAGTGGTTGGAGACTTGTTGATATGGCCCAGAATCTATATTAGTGGCGTAGATGTAGCTAAACTTTATCTTCATCGTAACCGCTTTACGGAACTCAGCATTTTCTCATTCCTTTTCCCTCCCTTTTGCTGGTTTGTGCTGCTTTTGACAGAGTTTCTCTCTCTCTCTCTCTCTTCGTCTTTCATCTTACTACTTTGTTACTTATTGTGCCTATGTGTGGTGTAACCCCGTAGACTTTTGTGTAGTAATGCCTGACCCTGTGTTGATATTGACTGGTTGATCGCAGCATTGCTCAAATACGGTAGAATCATCGTGTGCGTTGTTTTAAGGGTAGCTGAAGGATACTAGGAAAGGCAAACAAGTCAATCAACGAGGTTGTGAACTCTCAGTGACTGGGATCGCTTAGACTTATTGTACACAGTGAAGCATTGTCTGTCTCGTCATCCCACTTTAGAGGAAGTGGAATTGGCTTGGAAGAGGGCAGAGGGTATTCAGATTGATACGTGGAACCAGTCCGTGAAGTCCGACTATTGATTCGAGCCGTGTAGGGAGGTGTTAATTGCCTAGCTGTGGTCATGGCGATATTAGAAATTGACTATTAAATACTCCTGTGAACATGCCTAATAGTCACAAATATATTCACCTGGTATCCTCGAAAATCTTAGCATTCCCACTAACCTGAATTTGCTTCTCTCCTTACACTCTTATCTACCATGGTACCATTCCACTGTTCGTCATATGTCGCTGTGAAGTGTGATGGCTTGAACTGATTCCCTTCTGTGTGAGGTTTTAGGTTAATTTCACTGTCTGTCTGACCGATATAGATGAAATACGTAAACAGCATTCATATTCGAATTTCTGCCATCTTATTCATTCAGTAGGTTGAATGTAATTTGTTTTGAAATGTTTGCTTTTTTTACTTATCTGTTTTCTTATACATATTTTTCTCAAAGTAGATAAATCTAACTCAGGAGACCAGCATGCTGCTCAAGTCGACACTAGTCCTGCGAACAGAATATCAGCTGAAGAAATTCGTAGGAATAGACAAGTTTTTCTAGCCAGATTTTCTTCCAGTTGTAAAAAATAAATAGCACTAATGCTCCTTCTTAAAATGCTTTTGTGATATTTTGATAAAAAATTATGATCTCCTACATGTCTTTTAGATTACATTATGTAAAATGAAACACAGGTATTTTAACCATTCCAATAGACGGTACCCAGTTACACCTGTACACATTTAAATAACAGAATAAAATTGTTTATATTTTTGAACGCTTGCGTGCTTGATTTTTAAGTTATATCATAAAAGGAAGGTCAATATTATACTCTCCAGTCCCCACATAGATCGATCCATACTTGTTTGTACCTGGTAAATGGTATAGAACATATCCAAGCCATAGTAGGCTTTTCACTAAGACAAGGTTACTTCCACGTTCAAACTGGATAATCCAACAACCTGTGAAAATAAATAAGACACTTATTTTTTTGAAGATGATAAAATTGGTAGATATTGTCGAGTATGCAATTAAGGTAAAGAAGCATGTGATGCATTTTAGCTAGATTATTGTGTAACTTATCCTTTTTCTATCAGTTATTTTTTAGACAGTAAAAAATCCATTTTTACTCATTCCAGCTGTCCTTCTCATGAAAACAATTTGGACAGTAGGGATAACTGAATCCATCTGTGATAATGTTACTTAGCGTTCATGACTGTCCATGGTATGATGGACTTTTTAGTTGATGAAGCCTTTTCTTCGGACTTTAATCATTGTGAAAATCCTACTGCACGTGAATTATCATTGCAGAAGTCCTTTGGCTAGAGCTCCCTAATTTAGATCATTCGAACGGTTGATTTGAATGATATTGTTACGTTAGAAGTCACCTGACATCATGGAAAAGCCTCTAATAACGTAACTTGCTGGTTCCCAGTCCTACTTTTTATAGGTTGTCCGCTTTTGTGAGACACTGATTAGCATAATTTGTAGCATAGACTCAGCATTCAAGTATTACTTAAGATGTTTACTATCTCTTTGCTATTATTCCATATTTACCTCAGTAATGCTATCGGGTGAAACAACTGTAGTAAATTGTTTGCTCGACCTCCCGCTAGTAGTGCAATGTTTGAGAGCTTGAACTTCTGTGTAGGTCGGTATTTTGGTTTCGTTGTTTGTTGGCTGTTGGTAACTTTTATCAAGATGTCCTCTAACTAGTGGTCCTAGTGCGTGTTTATGAAAATGCATACTCTGAATATCATATCAAAGTAGTCTAGAAAGTTATAATAGTACCTAGTTGCTTTATCTCTAAGCTGTAAATCGTAGTAACTGTATCTTCCGTTAGGGTGATCACGTCCACCCGGTTGAGTTATGATTATTTGTTCATTGGGTTCTTAGTGGAACATTGGGCTTCAGTAGCACATCTCCATTGCACTCTCTTCCCTGCAGTCTTTTCAACCTGGCTCCACCACTGCCCACAAGCTTTCATTTCTTCCTCGCACCATCTCATCCTCATACTCCCTACTCGTCGTTTCCCCTTTGGCTTCCACTCGAGGGACTGGCCTGGCGCGTGATGTTCCAAAACGGTCTTCTCGGTGTATGTCCAGTCAAACCCATCTCCACTTTCTTCTGCATATTTGTTGGGCGATAGGTTCTTGGTTGTTTGGTTTTTTGCCAGCCAGAGTTCCTTGTTGCTTATTCTTATTAATCTGGCAATCTGATCTGATCTTCAGCATCGAGTGGGTGTAGGCGGCAGATGTTGCCCGACCGATAGCGGCTACCTTGAGGTGGTGGTCTTGCTTGCATATCACAATGACCCAACGAGCTATGCTGGTGGAACGCTTGCTCCTTCGACGTTCTACCATACCAGAAAGGTCTGTTGGATAGTGGTTAGACGAAAAGAAGTCACCGTTGTGGTGTAAATTACTACACTATGATGGGGGTCTGAGGGCGAAGTCGTACTGCTGCTAGCTGGATGGGGTGTGGCAGTCGTAAAGTGTTTCCCTTGGATGACCAGCAGTCCCATGCCCGTGCTACCTTCTCGGTGGAAGGGTCTGCCAGGCGGTGGTGTTGGTTCATTTGTCGTTTCCTTTCGACCATCCGGCCCCGAAACAACAAAAGTTCGAAATAATCATACTCAAAAGGCTACGTATGACAAGCCTCAGGCAAATGTCCGATGAGCTCTGCGGTCACACAAATCCCTTTCAGGTAATTTAAGAAGAAATAGCCTTCCGCGGTATGGGCAACCGGGAAGTGTCAACCGCCCTCACAACTCTATCAGCACTCAAGTTTCCTCGGACTGCTATCCACCTCCCCATCATTACCTCTTAATCTTCCTTCATGTCTCCCAATTAACAACACTCCATCATCTTCAATTTCTCCTAGTTCTGCAGCCTTTGACAACTATCTGAGTCCACAGAACAGCATCATTGGTCTCCTCAAACCACGCTCCAAATTACATATTGGAGTCTCACCCTCCATCAAATTGGTCGACAGGTTTCGTTGGCAAAGACTCTAGGAACTCGGGCCATGGATGTGTGCTGTGTTTGCGAGACACACATACTTGACCCAAGTGCGGTTATTAACCCAACCAATCTGGTGAATCCGCAAAATTCACCCTTCTAGTTTCTGGAGATTTGATGGCTAGCTCTCGGATCTTGCATAGTATTAAGCATTAAGACAGAAAACTCACTGCTAGATTGAGTCCCAGTTGATAGTCGCCTCTGCGCTATCCGACTAAATGGCACAGTTAGAACTAGAAGGAATAGTGAGACTCGCTGTCGTCTCTTTGTAATCTCTGCTTACACACAGACTGACTGCAGCTCCGACGAAGCAAAGGACGAGTTCTACCATAAACTGTCTAGCCTCCTCCCGAAAGCCAGACCTTCGGACGTGGTGGTTGTTGCAGGTGACTTCAGTGCACAGGTGGGTAGACTGAGTGAGGCAGAAAGGCACTTAAGTGACACTTTTGGAGTCCCGGCTGAACGAACAGGTAACGGTGATCGCCTACTACAACTGTGCTTAGATAACCGCCTATTTTTAGCTAGCACAAACTTCAGACATAAAGAAAGACACTGTCTGACGTGGCGTACACCAAACTCAACTCAGCCATGGACACAGATAGACCACATTGCTACTAGTCATTGCTGGAGAGGATCGGTGGAGTATTTGGACAGCGATCCTGAGTTGGTCCGAGCACGTATATGCCTGCGCCCCAATAGACGTAAGAAAAATTTGGCAACAAAACCACTACGAGTGCTGCTGGACAACGAAAGCACCAAAGCCGTGTTCAGTGAGAAGTTGGCTAGGCAGTCATCGGAACAAACGACTATCACTCATTCAGAACAAGCTTGGTACCATTTTCAGTCCGCTGTAAAAGCAGCGCTGAAGACCGTAGCCGACTCCGAAAGAGTGGCTAAAAAGAGCCAGTGGATATCAGCAGCTTCTTCCCAACTAATGGATACACGTAAACGCATCCCTGCAGGCCCCGAGTACAACGAACAGCAAGCACAGCTTAAAAGTCTACGCAACGACCACGAACAGTGGTGGGCAGCGAAGGCTAAAGAGATAGAAAAGGCAGCGGCGACTGGTAACAGTAGACAGTTATTTAGACTTATTAAGGAGACTAGGGAGTGGGAAAGGTCAACAACAGTTAGTGGGGCTATAGCAGAGAAGGACGGATCTGTGATTCACTCGCAGGGGAGACGACTCGAACGATAGGCAAAACACTGCGAGGAACAGTTTAACTCACTTCCAGACACCATTGCATTGCCCGCTATCCAGTCGGATCCCAAATGGAACATTGAGTGAAACGCCCCAACACTAGGAGAAGTCGGGAAATCAGTAGGTAACCTGAAACGAGGAAGGGCGGTAGCACCAGACAAACTAACTCCAGAGGTACACAAGGATGATGGTAAGGTGATCTTAGTCAGGTTAACAGAAGTGTTAACCAGTATACAGGAATCAAATACGGTCCCCTCTGACTGGTCTAAGTCACTGATTATCCACGGGACAAGAGGAATCAGTGATTGGAGACTGATTCTAGGTGATATGGCTGTGAACCGATGTCAGTGGCGCAGATGTATACACACATTATCCTCATCTAAACATGCCGATTCTCAACATTTTGTCATCCTTCCCTTCTTTCTTTTCGTACTTTATATTTCTTTTGACTGCATTTTCTTATCTTCATCTTTCACCTCACTATCTTTCTACTTGATGTACTGATGTGAGGAGTGGCTGCAAACTGGACCGTTACGCAGTAATGTCTGGTGGTCCCATGTTGGTATTGATGATGATGATGCAGCTGCTGATTAATGTCTGTAGTTTGTTGGATATGCTTTTCATCACGCGCCAAGTTTCTGAACCATCTGGAAGCACTGACTTGGAAATACGGATCTTGTTCGCGCTTCATGCTGAGTGCAATACAGTGCAGTAGATCTCTACACTGACTTCAGATTGATGAAGGAACGCGTCTCTTGCTGTCTTCCCGATCTTGGTCTTAACATCCTCAACTGCGCCTGTAGTTGAAACGATGGTGCTTAGGTAGGTGGGTGAAAGAGATAACTTCATTTAGATTTCTCCGGTTCATGATGATTGGTGATTGTTGTTGGTGGTTGGGTATCTTGATCAACTGTCTTCTCTATGTTGACCTGAAGGAAGTCGCATCTTTTCTGTCTCACCTCTTCTAGCAACTTGCTACTGCTGGCCCGTAGATCTTCAAGTTTGTGCGACATTAGATATAAGTCATCGTCTGCAAAATCCAAATCTTCTAGGGTCTTCTCATCGCATCGGTCAAACAGCGTATGCCCCTCTTCTCACAGCTGCTCACAGTTTCTTGCATGACCCAGTCCAGTCCAGTTGACCACAATCAGGAAGATCATTGGTGATAGTCAGCGGCAGCCTCGTCTTACTGCTGTCTTCACTTCGAAGACATCACTGAGCTTTCCATTATCAATCACTTAGGATGTAGCATGATTTAGCATTTAGCTGCTGAATGAGGTTGACAAGGGTTTGTGGCACTAAACCCGTAGTGTTGAAGCAGCTGCCAAATTACTTCCCGGTCGATGCCTCGACCAAAGGACTTTTCAAGTTCGATGACGTTGAGGTGAAGAGTTGCCATTCCGCCATTCTATGCTCTGTTCTATGATGATGCGTAGTGTAGCGTTGCGATTTGATCTGCACACGATTTGTTCTTTCTGAAGTCAGCTAGCCAGCCTGTTCTGGTGGTAATTTTGAATCCAGGAGACTCTTTAGACTCTTCATGGTGATGCGGCTTAGTACAGAGGTGGAGTATGAATTCGCACCAGTTCTCAGAAATACTTAGGTCACCCTTCTTTGGGAGTTTGACAAGGTAGCCCTTCTTCCAGTCAGTGGGCAGGTACTTTTCCTTCCTTCCAAAGCTTCTGCAAAAAATAATGTGTGTGTCCGCTGTTGCCTCTGTGTCTGTTTTCAGTGCTTCTAGTCCTGCTGCTTTCCCGGATTTCAGCAACGTTATGGCGTTCAGGACTTCTGCTTTTGTCGGTAATTCTGTGGCTCATATCTCTCCTACCAGCAGCCTGTTCTGCTTTACTTGCCAGTGTGTCGTAGAAGTGTCTTTTGTATTCCCGTGCAATATACTTCACTTTTTGTCCAATGTAGTGTTTTACAGGTTGTGTTCAATTCCTCCTTTCATTGTTCATCCCTGCACTGCACTGGTTCATCTTCTGCTTCACCATCACCATCTTCCTCTCCCTCCTCCATCAGCTTCCATGTATCCGTCGACATCCATTCCTTATCTTCTTTCTTCTTCCTTCCTAATACGGTTACACAGGTCTTTTTCCACATCTCTTTCAAAGAGTTCCAGTGTTCGTCTATGCAGGTTTCCTTGAGGATGTTGCTTAATGTCTCTCATTTTTCTCTGATGGCTGACGTGACGATGTCCTTTGTAGTTTCGTACTTCAGTTTTTGTTCTAGGTGTTGAACTTCGACTGTGGTCGTTTATCACCAACTTCTGTGGAGGCCTTCAACTTAGTTTTGAAGGTGGGTTTCTTGCACTAGATAGTGAGTGATGTGAACCTACATCTGCTCCCGTTCTTCATTTGATGTGATCTTGTGTCCAGTAGGCTGCGTCTACACTTTCTTCACATTCAGATGAAGTTGATCTAATTTTTAGTGTAGTGTGTCTGGTGTCTGGTGGAAACAAATCCATGTCGCTGTCTTGTGAATATCCTTGTATTTGTACACACGGCTTAGCCTCAAATCACTAAATCGTTGAATGCACAGAAGTCTGCAAACAGTTCTTCATAGGCATTCACTTCGCTGAGTACTTCTCGATGCATGATGGATGAGTTCTCTTCCTGTGTTGTCGGCTCCGAGTTTGGCATTCATTTCACCCTACCCATTAAAATTTCGATGTCGCCAACTGGAGTCTTGTCCAGTACTGATTACAGTTGTCTGTAGAATTCTTCCTTTTTCTCTTGGTTCGTGTCTGCATTATTTGTAGGTGCATACCATAGCATTGTATGATTGCGACTTCCTTCATCTTCATTTTAATCTTGTTGTCATGATCCTGCAGGGGGAGATTGGTTCCCATTGCCTAAGAGCCTTCGATGCTGTTGTGGACATCATGATAACCACTCGAAAACTAAGTGTTCTCGTGGTTATGATCTGGGTGACTATATTGAAGTGGATCATTTACTCTCCAGTTGACAGTTTGGAGAGCCCGTTTTCATTCCACCTGTTTTCGCAGGTTTCTAGCATATCTATGCCATATCTTCTCATCTCTTTGGCAATCTGGGCAACCTTGCCAGTCAGCTTCAAACATTGTGTGGACATTCCATGTCCCCACTCTTACTTCCACTTTCATCGAGAGAGACAAAACACATCGGCTATTTGGTTTCTCAAAGGCTTCCACCAACTGGCGTCATTTCGTCTCCAAGATTCCATCTAGGAATAACTTTTTTATATTTTTTCGTGCTTTAAAGTTTCTCTAGCGATTGGATCAGTGATATGTGAAGGTTTCAAATATTTAATTGTCGTTACTTTCTTTCCCAGCTGAAGCATGACTGCTTCTAAATAAGTAGTAAGAAGCTTAGAAGTTGAGTATTAGATAATTAAGCTAGGGTAGTTCTGTTCGCCCCGTCAACTGAAGCATCTGGTACACGTACCACATATGCTGCCCGTGACTCATAAACTGACGGCAGTGGAATGAGATACAAGGACTGCCAGATCAAGACAGTAGTATTACATAAAGATTAACGACGTATGAGAAGACTTTAAGCTTTCTCGTTATGTCCCTACTAACAGTTGAAAACCAGGTTATATCCTCTAAGCCTTGTTTTGAAGGTGTAGTTTTGGGTACATTATATTCAATAAATGTTCTCAATTTTGCTTTCTTTATATTACAGCTTCCAATAATTTCTAATTTTATTTTAATTCCCTGTTGTTGAAATGCACTTTTAAAAATGCTAACACTGACACAGAGTTATGATAGACCATTTACTCTTCTATCTTCATATTCGAAATCAACTTCATGATAATATGCAGCATAGGAGACTAAAGACGTAGTGACAAAGATTCGACTAAAAAAGTAACCTATATATATATATATATATATATATATATATATATATATATATAGGACAGAAATATCCTTTATGGATAGGTTCTGAAGCATCTAACCACAGTGCCAAAAGTGGAACTAACTGTTGAAAACAGGTGTAAAAAGCAATAAAGCGATTTAACAGCCTCACCTTTTGGATTGTCATCTTCAATGGTATCCAGGAAGTCAATAGCCTTATCTAGTCTCGCTCTGTCAGTTAGTGGCTTGTGGGGCATGTGTATAGGGGGTCGACAATGGAAGTATGAAAGTTCCTTTGAGGCTTCAGCAACAGTCAGACCTGTAGAGTTTTTCATAAGTGTGTGAACAAGAATACCTTCGAAAGATTTGTTCCTAACCACCTGGCCGTTAGACAGTCGCAAGTAGGCACCTCGCGGCACAATAACTACTTCCTCTTCCATGCGGTAAATAATTGCCGCAAGCCTGTCTTCTTCTTTCATAGTTATCTAGTTTTCAATCATAAAGTATTGTTGGGTTGAGTTACAAGTTCTTCAGTCTCAACAAGTTCATCACCCTCGCCTGGCATCTGTTTTATTTCAACATACTCAGCATCGAATGATGGATCGCCAGTTAACCTTGTCTTAAATAGCTTGCTCTTTTCTATATCTTGTTTTCCAGGTACTGGCAACAGCCCCCATGTTGAACAGTCTTTGCTGCAACAAAATGATCTCAGTATTAAAGAGTCTGTACCTGTATAGATTGGTTCTATCTTTCAATACATCCTTTCCGATTCCCTGTGCAATAAAATAGTCTCCACTAACGCCACGGATAATACCCCAAAATGACACATATGTAAATTTATTCTCATGCTTTAATATTGTGAGCGTAGTCTGGAGTGTTGCCTTTTGCTCGGGTGTGAGGACAATCCCACATGACCCTACGTAATCTATCGCTAGATGTAAGTCTGAAGAGTCCATTTCGCTAATGTCAATGTAGACACTTCGCTAGTTTCTATGACCACAATGGCAAGTAGTGGAGTAAAACAAAAACACCATTATCATTTCTGCTAGTTAACAACAGCTAAATAATCCCTCTGCTTCTCGATACTACAGTAAAGTTTCTCGTCTTTGATAGAATTCTACACAGTCATTGGTTTTCTCTGTCATTGCTGACAAACTCAGGAGTTTCAGTGATCCAAATTTAATAATATAAGCATAGGAAAATGACAGATTTTTGTCTCGCACGTCCAGTTCCTGGGGTTTAGTTCTAGCTGTTCAGTTTTCTCCTGCATCGGGGAAGGAAATTTCGTCTGCATTCTTGCTTTTAGCACCGGTGCGATTAATGTCTTGTTAGGTGAAACTTGTAATTAGTGGATAATAATTATAATAATAATTCACTTTAGAGAGATAGAGGTGGTTATCGAACTACAGGTTTCTTGGGCGATTAGGAGTCTTTCGTGACTCCTCTCCGTACAAGTAACTGAACAGGAATGGCAAGGTGGTGGGAAGAGATGTGCAGGACTTACCCGAAATGTAAAAGGAGATAGTTTGGATCTGCTTACTGGAGTTAAGTGTTCCACCCCATCAGAGCATGCCTCCCCCCTTGGCCCCACAAGCGATCTTTTTGCAGAGCTTTGCACTTTCTCAGAGAGACCGAGGTCTTTCTCGAGCCTCAGGCGTGCTACTAGATGAGGCCGTACATTGGATTTGAAAACCGTGAGAAGCAATTCAGGAGTGACAGCACCAAGCTGTCAACATCAGAAGAGTAAAGCGACGTTCACTCTGACCACCATTACTTGTAGTTAAAGGTGTTGTTCAGTATCAGAGACGTTGAGTTCCAGACAGTTTTCCGTGGGTATTCTGATGATAACACGGTTACTTAAGGTATGCTTCAGTGTTGAGCAGTCAGCCTCTTTGTTTGCTACCCATCCAACAGAGAAGGTGAAGAAAGAGTTTCTGTGTGCAGGCAGTTGGAGGACAGGAAGAACATAGTTGGTCCCGAAGTTGCTCCTTGGACTGCCCCTGATGTAAATGGTTTTCTCTCCGGCCGTATCCTGTTTATCTTGGCGCGAACCTACCTACCTTCTAGCCACACTTTGAAATTGGAGAGTAGAGGTCCACTTATGACGACTGAAGTGATACTGTGTAAGACTAAGTGCTGAACAGTGCCAGGTGTCTTAGCTAGTGAAAAAAGAATGACACACCTAATGTTTGTTATTCTGGCTAAATGTCAGGTCATCCCAGGCAGCCAGCAAGTTGGTGGTCCACGGACGACCACCTCGAAACCATACTGGGTAGTATGTGCAGGGGTCTCCCCAAGGAATTGCAGATCTCGGGGACCGTCAGTTTTCTAAAGCTTTGGATAGCATAGGTAGTAGGGAAATCGATCTCTTTCTAACAGGACGTTTTCTGTCTCCTCTCTAAAAAATGTGTGACGAGACCATGCGTCTCCATTTCTAGGGAGTAAGCATGGCTGTCGAGTCCATAAGGAGGTTGTAGACCAGTCTGCCAAGTGCCTCAGAACTGTTTATTGGGATTGCAGGTCCCAGTTTGTCACAGACAGGAGACTAACTTGAACAGAGCCTAGGTAGTTTACCCACAACTTTTTCTGTGTGTTTAGGAGTGGCATAGGTATTCGTTATTCATGGCCTGATCACTGCCGTATGGTAGTGCAGATTAAATATCAGAAGTAGTAATTTGCGCCTAGAATAGTGAGCCCAGAAGCTCAGTCATCTATAGACCGCTTAGTAATCCTCCGATAGGATCGATGGGAGGATTAATTCCTTTGCTAGTCAGCTTCCTTTCCAACGTGAAACGATGCTTTTTTAAAATTTACTTTGTAACCATCTCGCCAGGCTTGTTTCAGGGTGAAACCCGTCACTAAGGGCTCTTATGTTGCAGGGATTGTGAATTCCTTTTCAGTTTGAGAAGTTCGACTCCCTGTGTGGGTAACGAATCTTAAACTGGGCCTGCCTTTTGGTCTGAAATAGCCTCCCCGTCCCAAGCTTTAGAAGTGAGTTTCTTGCCAGTGGTAGGTGTGTTACCTCTGGCAGTCTGAGAATGGTGGCCCCAAAGACCACTTCCTTCGCTTGTGTTTAGTGTCCATCTTTTGAGAGGAATCCGGTCTACAGACCATGGTTCATTTATAAGACTATTTCTCCTAGTCTCATAGTCAGTAAGGGAAGGCGCTATGTAAGTCTGGTTGTACAGTCTCCTTAGTAGTCAAAAGGGAAGCCTTCACCGTACTATCCGTGAGACCGCAAGGTGGTCGGTCACGTATATCCCCAACAAGGAGGTCATAGTTTATCAGGCTGTGGTCCAGGCGTGATGAATTTCCGTCGGACCTCATGTGTATGGGATGGTCTATTTTCGAAGAGCTGGAGTATTCGGCGGTCTGACGTTTCAACGACACCCTTTGAAAGTCCTGCCTAGTTTCGTTGCACAGATAAATTGGAAGACGACCGAAAAGTGGTCACTTCTGTCCAACAGAAGAGGGACTATCAGGCCGTCAATCAAAAATTCTTTATTCATGAAACTGCAGTTTAAGCATGATAGGATTTGATGGTTACTGACCCAATACCTTCCACAAGCCTCATTTTCTCAGTCATTTTGAAGAACCGGGCTTCACTGGACCTGCCACTCCCACAAAGTTGACCCCCGGTCGGTTAGGTTTCCTAGAGTTGGTGCCCGTGTATATCCCAGTTCAAGAGAGCGGCTGATCACCTCCAGCATTTGGTGTCAAAACGACACTTCATCGGATGGCTTCTTGATAACGACTTCCACTACGCCTCTTGTAATCACGGATGGCTTTATAGAGCACCAGATGGACCCCTTGAAACAGCCCAATCCTTGAATATGGATTTGGCTAGCATTAAACCCTTGGTTGATCTGTGATCACGTCTTGATATCAGTCAACACGTTGACGATGTTCTCAAGAACATCCTTCACCCCACATCTGCACGAGTGGTGGCATCACTTGTGACTAGACTTGCTGAATGTGGTGTGCCCGGACTGCCTTAAATCTGTGCAAGTCACAGAACCTTCCCTCTCAGTTATCACACCGCGTACCACTCCGAACAGGTAGATGACAGCCCTATCTCTTGTGCGTCCACAGTTGGCCTACCACTGAGGTCAAAAGGTATAACGGGGGGAAAAGCTCACGTAAAATACTCTTGAAGACTAGAAAAAGGGTACAACTTTAGCGTTTGCAAGCTAAACCAAACCTAGATTCGTAGTGAACCTCCAGTATCCTTTCAAATGCTCAAAATACACGAAAAAATGGGGTAGATTCATTTTACCTTAAGCTCAGAAAAGATACTCTTACTGCTGTCCAGAGCCTTCGTTGCAATGTGGCATGGCAACAGCTAAGATGTTAAATTGGGGTGATTTTGGACTCCCTTTTGAAAATAGCGAGTAGGTATTTTTACATGTCACCGTTGCAGACGATGAGAACAGATCTTCCTAGTGGACGTTTTTTATGACGTGGTAATTTTATAAACTGAGTCACAAAATGTATAGCAACCGGAGGCCATCTGAATATAAGATGGACTGGGATCCAAATTTAAGCTGTGGTTGGGAGAATGTCCTGGTTGGTAGAGTCCATAAAATTGGCTGTGGACTACTGATGGACAGCCGTCCTGCAGTCAGTTTGACCAACATAGGAAAAGGCCTTCCAAAATGGCATCCTGTAATGTGTCGATGAAAAAATGTTTTTAGCCTTTGAACAGCGTGATTCCAAAGCTGGCCGCCCATGAGAAGCAGGTGATGCCACTGCAAGGCAGCGGTGAGCTGCTTGCATGTAATGTGCATGTCCCAACTCTTGCATTGTTCACAGACTTCAGAATACCCGATGCTAAGGTATTTTGCCAAGGTCCACTTAGTTTACTGAAAATCTTTGTGACCGGTGATGCACTTAGGAAGCGAACCTAAGGTTTTCTTTGCCACTGAAGTCAGAGTGAGGGTGAAAGGAGTTTCATCTTCGTGCAAACAGGCGAAAGTTAGGGTACCTCAGTGTATCTGTCGTCCACTTCTCCTCCTTCTCTTAGCGAAAGAGTCGCTCAAGACGGTGCACAGTGTTGAATACAGACTGTGCCTACTGGACGACCTAAGTTCTCCACCACATTGGCTCCCCGTATGTTTTCTAGAGATTGACACCGGTAAGAACATTGTCGTGAGAATGGGTCGCGACAATGTAAGTAACTAACCAATTAACGCACTCTGTTAACTGAAGTGGTTGACTGGAAAGACCTAGGTTTCATAGTTACGATGACCCAAAAACCTCGTCCAATTATTGAGTGGTATGTGTCCAAAACATTCGATCTTACAGGCCTCTGCGAAAAGCCCATCAGAGCTATGATGAAGATGTTTCGGATCTTATACCCATATATGTACGATCCCGACCGGGACATAGGATTCTAGTATAAGGTCCATATTTCAAACACGAAGCTGACATCAGAGGACAGAAACAAAGATGACCAATTGGATCTGCGACCTCTACTACGAAGGAAAACTGACTCGATCCTGTCTTCTTCAACTAACTTGTAACAGGGTGGCGGGTGGTATTTTCCCATCAAGGGACACTGCCCTGTTATTCAGTCACAGCGGAATCGTCTTTGTCCAGAAATGTCTTTCGCGTGTAGTAGAAAAGACTGAAACTCCTCTGGAGGATGCGCTGTCCTCGCCATAGGTTAATTATCTCAAGGTGAAAGTGCATCGTTGCACCACACGCACCAACAAGAACTAACAAACGTCAGCGTCGTACTATTCATATCCCTGAAAAGCGGAAACTGAAAAGGAAGTGGATGTGGGTCACAGATATTGGCAAACTTTAAATAAAATTGCTTGGAGGGAAGTTTATAACTTCTCGCAGACCATTCAAGTGATACAGGAAAGTTGAAACTGTTAAATCTATCATCCACAGGAGTGTGGTGAGCCCTGTTGGGCGTGCTGTTTCTGTTAGCTTTTCTTCCGATGTAATCAACCACCAAGTCTTCAAGTGCCCTTCAGAACATCGAGAC